CTAGAACATCACTGCCGTCGGCCTTTGCATGGGTGTGGCGTTCTTGCGAGAACTCTCCGCCAGCTGTCGCTTGTTTTTTCGCAGTAGTGCAGTGTCGCTGTTCGGCACCACCTGGCGAGATGTCTCACCTCGACGGAACTGCATCGCCCTTTGGTAGACCAAGCTTTGCAGTTGCCGGTACGTGACGTCTTTGAACGGCTTTGTGAATACCTGAATTCAAGATTCAAGACAAGCAGGACAACCGCACAATCACACAATGACAATCAAACAACGCATGCATGTCCCGTAACGTTTGTGAATTGCTCACTAAGAGATACTCAGAGTCCCAGACACGCAACCTTGGCCGCCAACAAGCTCGGCAACGGTGCGGCAAAGGCCGTCATGAGCATTCAGAATGCCATATCGTTCAGTGGCTGTCTCAAGCTCCTGCTGCATCCAGAATACACACAAGCTGGGCTAACATGTTTGAAACACTACAGCAGAGCAGCAACTATCAAGCGGGCATAGTGTCCTGAGGAGAACTCGCAATGGTTTTCAGCATCATGGGACATCTGCCCTCCACAGAGATGTAGGATTCAGACGCATTCGGAGAATCTCCGAGAACTTGTTTGACCAAGCGATGCTGCGCCTGGGACTCGGACGACTTGGACCCGCAGTGCCGCAGGGGCGAGACCGCCGGGATTCAAAACAAGTTAGTATATATATATATATTATTGCGCCTGCAGCATTACTGTGCCGGCGTTCATGTGGCACAAAATCACAAACTCCGAAACCACGCATCGGTTGAGACCAATACAACACAACATTCTAGAGTAGACACCTTGCCAACCCACACACTCAGACAAGTTTCTTCTGTGGCACGCTCGACTATGCGAACCAACCGTAGCGCTCCGAGCCATTCCCGCAGCGGCTTCATTTCCGGATCGGAGAGGTTTCCGCCGCGTGCAAAGTCTTCAACAAGCCCTCGCAGCGGCACATCGGAAGCCGAGGCGCCTGAGAAGGACCGGCTAAGAAATCGACATGTCATAGGGTGCCGCCTTGTGTACAGAGCGTGAGGATCGATCTTGTGGGTGTCGAACCTGTGCAGGGCCTTGCTGGCAACGGCTCGGGCTTGCTCTTGATCTGGCAGTGCTATGCCGCACAGCAACCATGGCAGCTCCTTCCAATGTGCGCATTTGGTGTCAACTTCAGCCTCGATCAAATCCACAGCTATACGCCATTCAGATGACAGATGTTTGAAGTGTCGGGTGTTCTGCCCGAGTTCACAGGCAGCCGCATAGAAAAACGACGCTGCTGTCGCTAACCTGTGGCTCACAAACTGTTCGAAGCATCCAGATGCTGCCTCGGGCGCTCGTCGTCCGCGAAGTGGGCAGCCACAGCCGTCACGAGACCACTCGTGACACGGACAAGCTTCCGCCCATGTGGAAAGATCTTCCACGACACCTTGCACGATCAGCAAGAACTTAATATATGCCCAGAAGTAGGGGGATGTGATGGCGCTGTCAGCGACCTGAAACAACTTGTTGTCACTGCCACCCTGATCATTGTCATTGTTTTCAGTGTCGAGCTCGAGGTGGACATTACCTGCCGTCGTGTGAAGGAACCGCTGCAAATTCCATTCTTCTCGAAGCGCACCTTCTCTTTTGTGAAGTGAATCACACACCGCTACCAGTGAGCCCCACCGCCACAAGATCAGGCAGCCTCCGTCGTAGAAGGAGAACAGCCTTTCTGTCGCCTTGCCCTTATAGAGTTGCTTTATGCGATCTCGGTAAAACTTTTGGTGTAGAAGCGTGTTCACCGCCTTCACCTGCTCCTTCAGCAAGCAAAGTCACAACTACCAAGTGTTGTTGCATGGCTGTGTACGCGATGACATTACATGAAATGACAACAACGACTCATGATGATATGCTTGCAAAGCACACACAGCACAGCCACCAAACTGGTCCTGAAAACTCTTGAAGTGCTCTAGCCGGGCAAGCACATCTCCCTGGATGTTGGAACATATGTGTTTCAATCCAGGTACCATCAAACTTCCACCCATGTGCCAGCGGAAAGGGCCGGCTGATGTATCTTGCAACGCACGCTCGGCAGCTTCGGGGACAGGAACGCCGGGCACCTGCTCAGAATCGGACTCCAAGTCAATGACGCCGCCTGCTGCTGGAGGCCGAGCAAATTGGCTTTCGAGGTCGTCGCCGTCGCAGCCCTCAACCTGACACGCACACGCTATGATGCCACGCTATACAATGTTCAGTTCCAAGTTCCAATCGTGGTTGCCACTGCCGCAGTCGACGCAATCTCGTTCAATCTCTAAACCAAAAACCATGAACATTCAAATCACACAGGGAATGCTGGATGCTGGCTATGTCTCCATCCGAAGCCGCCTACGCTTTCCGGCAGCATCTTGCAGAAGGCCATCCGAATGAGATATTGCTGTCCTCATCAGCGAGGATATCTCGACAGCAGGAACCTTCAACATTGGATGTGCAATGCAAACATTTTGCTATTGGCATGTGCGGCACAAGGAAGCTCGCAGCTAGCGCGTGACAAAACAATGAGCGCACAAAGAGAGTAGCGTTGAACGCAAACCGCTGCACGCCTGCGATCGCAGCACACCAAGTCACCAAGCGCAAACGTGCAAGTACACAGAGGGAGACAAAGAAATACAGAGACTGAGATAGACATTTATTGATTTACTTACATTGAGATTTAATAGAACTTGAGGCGTGCTGCTAAGCAACCTCGGTGAACTGCGACTCGGTGCCATAGTCTGAGCAAAAGGAAATGCAAGATTCCATGGAGTATCTTTGGAGTGCAGCCGGATCAGTGCCAATGTCCAATTTGACCTTCGGGTGTCGGGCGCTGACCGTGATCACACGTTACGGGTTGCACAGAATCACACACACTCACAATGCAAACGCACAAGCCCCAAGGCAATGCAATGACATGGCAAAGGCGGGCAATGCGGGCAAGGGCCATCTTCAAGATTCAAGGGTAACGGTTTGCACGGCACGGCATGGCATGGCAATGACAGTTCAGTTCATTCAAAGTTCAATCAGTTCAAGGTTCAAGGGCGGTCAAGACTGTCAAGAGTCAAGGGGTCACGTCAAGTCAAGGGTCCAACGGTCCAAGGGCCAAGGGGTTGCGAGAAAAGCAACCCAATAAACAAAGTCTCCACTGGACTCGACATCAGTCATTGCTACGAAGGATGACCAGCCTGGTGGAACACGGCCTCGAACTTGGCTGACAGATCAGCGTTGCCAGACCCCACCAAAGCCAATGGAAGCTGCGTCGTCTCGATGACGTTGTCTGCAGCCCATTTGAGGCCATCGCCACCGGCCAGCACTAGATTCCCCGCTGCAGCTCTAGACACACGATCCTCAAGGGTCATGAGGTAGTCTAGGCCTCCTTGCGGCGAAGAATCCGTGGACAGCATCACGAAGAACTCCAGATCCGAGCTTCTGAAACGCTCTTGCCGAGCCATCATCGAGAGCACGTCAAGCTTCAATCGAGCCCGGCTGAGCGTCGACTCGGATGGGACCCGCATGGTCTTGTCCGCCAGCTGCCGTGCCACATGATCTGAAAGGTCGGCACCAAACACATAGTGCACACACCTCAGAAGCACCTGTGGCAGCTCTTTGCTGTTCTTGATCAGCCGCGAAACCAGTAGCGCCTCCATCAAGCTACTGAACTTGAATTGGCGTTCATTTCGCTGGGCACGGTGGCGATCTTGCTGAGCTTGAAGCAGGTTGGCAACTTGTCCCAAGTGTCCCCGAATCGCACTAATCACCTCTCATGCAGTGGCCAGATGTACATTTAATCACATTGACGTGCCCTGCACACTGCAGTACTGCATTTATCATTATTGATCACTGATCGCCTCGTTGGAAGCGCATGTCTCAACAGCTGCTTGCGTGAGTGTTTCCAGTGCATTCTGGATGTCGACCACTGATATATCAGAGGGGCCGACACCGGCTCCCAGTTGCAATGGCCGTGCCATGGTACCAGACTGTCACTGCCACGTGGGCAGCCTTATAATCGTACTTTTTGCTGCAAGCATCTGCATGCAATGCCTATGACAGCTTGCATGCGTGAAATGATGGTCAACGACAAACTTCAACCAGGCTCCCGCTCCCGCCAAGCAAACAACGAAATCAATTGTCAAAGCGCCGGCCCTCGCACTGCACTTTTGCAGCCAAGCAACGGTAAAGCGGAGTCCCAACGCCAGCATAACATGGCAATCACATATTGAGTCAGCAGCCTTTCCAAATCGCACATGCCATTCTGCATTCTGCATCGATGCACATGAACATGATCAACGTGCCAACGACAAGCCAAGCCTAAGCCAAGCCTACCGCAAACGCCACAAGCGATAATTCAAACATGCCAAGCAAGCCCTGAGGCTTCGCAACACTTCACGATTCAAGACAAGCCACTAGCAAGACAAGCAATGCATCAACGGTCATCAACGCACGGTCACTCCCACTCCCAACACCATCTTGCAGTCAAGTCACGGCCACGGTAAAGCATATGCAGCAGAGCCCCAGGCCCAGAATCTTGTGATCACAAATTAAATCATAAGTCTTTCGTTGTTCAACCATGCCGATCTGAATCGATGCACGTGGCCACTGAACCAACAGAATCGCTACTTTGCAGGCAAAACACGGAAAAGTAAAGCGGCAGCGGGAGTGCGTTGACCAGTGAAAGCACCAATATCAAACCGAACCAGCAGCCTGACCTTCAAATCTCAGATCGCTAAACGGCACCTGCAACCGTGCCATGCGGGGTGGACCATGCAACCCTTAATGGCAACTGAGACACTTGGGCGCGCTCATCACACGGCACTGCCATTTCCAGTGTTTCCAATTTGAAGATTCCACATGGCAGCTTTGCGAATACAACGGCACAACATCAGACTTGTAGCAACACATCACAGGCTGCACCACTGCACGACATGATATATATCATGGGTGCCCCACAACGACATAGGAACAAATCACAGAGGCTGCACTACATCAGAGGCTGGACTACGTGACATGGCAAGTTGTGACACGACCCACATCACAGGCATATACTACCACAACCCACATCATGCAGCAACACATCGCAGGCTGCGCCACAAGAAACGGCAGCGGGATGCATGAAAGCAGCTTTAAAACACTTCTAGCTTTTCGGAGAATTACTGCAACACTTATGGCTTCCTTAATTTCGGACAAACAGCAAAACCAGCAATCAACGCAAGTTAACACCCTGAGCCCTGAAGCCTAAACCAACTCTGTGAGCGTGTGCTCCAGGCATCTAGGGGTTCTACCTTGGACCCTTAAGGTTGTACCCTTGGGTTTCGGGGCCCCTTTTTAAGGATCCTTAAGGGAATATGAGGGCCATATTCGGAGTACATTAGGGGGAACCTTTAGGGGTACAACCTCAAGGGTACGAGTCTGAATCCCTTGAAGGCAATCTGCTTCTACCGGCTTTCGGCTGGCGAGTTCCGTACTCCGCTTTGCGACTCTGCCTGGTTGCAACTGCGACCATGTCCGTGAAAGGAACCCTGCTAGCCGGGTTTCGGGTTTAGGGTTTAGGTTTAGGGTTTAGGGTTTAGAGGGTAGACTGGCGGGGTGCGCGCCCTCCTAGCCACTGCAATCATTTGCGGTAGGGCTTCAGGCCCCAACGAGGTCCTCATAGCCATCTCCATCTCACTGGGGTGCTCCATAGCCATAGGCTGTTCCCTGTTCCCTAAACCCTAAACCCTAAACCCGAAACCCTATACCCTAAACCCATAGACTCTTAATTCTGTGTGGGCTTAGGGTCTAGGGTCGAGGGTCTCTCCACCATCATGACCTATGACTTGCCCAGGCCACCAAACACCAAACTCCCCTCCCTCCCCCCCCCACACAGGGAGACACGCCTTCCCTAAACCCTAAACCCCAAACCCTACACCCTAAACCCTAAACCCCGAAACGACGACACCAGGTCAAAAAGAAAGACAAGACGCAAACCCAGGCTGCGCTGTTTCAGGGCGGGTTACCTGCCCCGAAGAAGTCCGAACCCTAGCCCTAGACCCCAATTTTCCGGATCCATGTGCCTATACAGCTTGGGCCTTAAAAGGGTTCCTATATAGTATCTCTAGGGCCCAGGTATATACGTACAAGGGTCCTTAGTGTAAACCTAAACCCCAATCGTAATCCTATACCGTGAACACGAAGATCCTCTCCCACCGTCGCTTGACGTGGAAGCCCCTTTTTGGCGGGGGTGCGTATACAGACCAGCCAAGCGCGCCTCACAGGAAGGGTTCAGGGTGTACCGTTTAGGATTTAGGGAGTAGGGTTTAGGGTTTCAACAAGAGTTCGGGGTTTAGGGAGCTTAGGTTCTCAGTATGAAGTAGGGTGTTAAGGTCAAGGGGTTGGGGGGGGGGGGGTCCTATGGCAAATCGGGGTGTTGCGCAGTTCTTCTTCTTCTTCTTATTTTTCTTAGTCTTCTACACGAGCTGCATGAAGGTTTTTCGGCTTCGTGGCCACGTTGCCCACATACGCACTCCAGTCTGAGCATCGGGCAATTCCCTAAGCCCTAAACCTTTCGCGCCAACAAGCCCAGCCCCCTAAACCCTTGGGGATATAGACCCTCTGAATAAGGTCCCTCCTTAAGAGAGCCAGAAGAGGGTTCAGAAGGGGTTCCCTTTCAAGGGTCCCCCTTATCCTACCTAGGAACCTTAGCCCCAAACCCTAAGCCCTAACCCCTAAACCCTAAACCCTAAACCCGAAATCTCCAGAGCCTGAACCCTTCAAGTTTCAGAATAAACAAACATACTACGCATGGAACAACCTTCACGCCCCAAACCCTAAACCCTAAACCCTAAATCCTAAACCCCAAGCCCTGAACCCTAAACCCTAAACCCAAAACCCTAAACCCGAAACCCGAAACGCTAAAACCTATGCCCTGGGTCGTCCCCTGCCTTGCCCGGGTCTGCAGTCAGTCGTCGAGCCAGGTCAACAGTTGCGGGATCCTTCTGTTGTGCCAACACCGTTTCCGTTTAATCTTCAGGGTTGAGGGTTCTGGGGTTGTAGGATTCTAGGGTTCTTGGGTTTTATTTTAGGGCTTTAGGGTTTCAGGGTTTGGGGTGGGGGGGGGGGGGGGGGGGGGGGGCTTCGGTTGAAGAAGCAGAAGCTCATCAAGAACCCCTAAAACCCTAAACCCTAAACCCCTACAACCCTACAACCCTAAACCCTACAACCCCGCTGTGCTTTCTCCTGGGTAGCCCAGTAACAATGTTTGAAACAGGGTGCCCTTCTTTGGGTCGGTTACTTTATAAGTGCACCTTGAACCAAAACGGGAAAAAGAGTAACACCGGGCTACCAAGCCCCAGCAACGTTGCGTGTGGAGAGCCAGGGCATGTGAGTAGTCGCCTATCACCGATACTACCCCAGCCAGCGAAATGCTGGACGATACCGTTGCGCGTGCAAAGAGAAAGCAAATCATCTCGAGCACCCGCGTCGAGAATGGCAAACGAGCCAAGGCCCGCTTAAAACATGGCACCAGCAACCCTAAACCCTAAACCCCAAACCCCTAACCCCTGTTTTCTACGATCACCAGTTGGGTCGAGCAGAACTCGGCACTTGGAAGATGCTGTTGACCAAATCATCCGCCACGGGAGTGGTGATGGATATCTCAGGTTCCATCCCACTGTTTTAGGGTTTAGGGTTTAGGGTTCAGGGTTTAGGATGTAACGTTCCAGGGGAGGGGGGGGGTGAGGATGAGGATGATTCACCTTCAGGCCATCCCTGGTGATCGGTAGTGCTGCAGCTATTGTCACTGTAAGCATGTTTAGTCGCGTTGCTCCTCGTGTGTCGCCGCCTGGGGTCAGTTTAGGGCTTGGGGTTCCTTAGGGAATCGTGAACCAGAAGGCCCGAACCACGACCCTGAACCCTAAACCCTGAACCCTAAACCCCAAACCCTAAACCCTAAACCCTAAACCCCAAACCCTAAACCCTAAACGCCCTAAACCCTTGCGCCACGCAGTCAATCAGCCCTGGATTGTTAACGGCACTCATCTCCGAGCCTCCCTGATGGCATGAAAGCCCTGCCCTGAACCCTTAACTGAAACCCCAAACCCTAAACCCTAAACCCTAAACCCTAAACCCTAAACCCTAAACCCTAAACCCTAAACCCTAAACCCTAAACCCTAAACCCCTCCTCCGGGTCGACACCGTCGCGGCCGTAGCCGCAGTCCACCATCAGAAACACCGACCAAGCCTGGCCAAGATGCGGAGGGTTGAGGGATTTGAGGGCTTAGGGTTTAGGGTTAGGGTTTAGGGTTTAGGGTTTAGGGTTTAGGGTTTAGGGTTTAGGGTTTAGGGTTTAGGGCTTAGGGTTTAGGGCTTAGGGCTTTAGGGCTTAGGGTTTAGGGCTTAGGGTTTAGGTCTTTGCGGCTCTGGTGTGTTGAGGATTTAAAGCTTAGGAGTTCAGGGTCTAGGGTTTAGTGGTTGGGGTTCGGGGGTTCGGAGTTTAGATTTGATGGTTCTAGTGGTGGGCTTAGAGCTGCGCGCCACCTACAGACACGTAGACCCAATGCGTTGATTGAGGCGCGAAACAGGTACGAATGGGACCGAGTTTGCTTAGGAACCTCGATCAGCCATGAAAAGAAGCAGGAGAGGACCGGCTCTACGTGGCCCGTGCTTCTAGTGGTTCTAGGTTGCGGATTTTGGGTCTAGGTCTGGGCTTTCGGTCTTGGTGATGTTGAGGGTTTGATCGGCTTAAGGTTGAGGAGTTTAGGGCTGCAGGGGTGGGGACTTCAGGAGTTGAAAATTTAAGGTTAAGAGATCAGGAGTTAAGCTTTGAGGGTAGAGGGGTTAGGGGGTTTGGTTGAGAATTAAACCTTATAAACCCTAAACCCTAAACCCTAAACCCTAAATGTAAACCCTAAACTCCAAACCCCTAAGCCCGGCCAGGTTTCGGGGTTGGAACTTTGAGATTCAGGGTTTAGGCTTAAGGGGTTGGCATCGCGAAGACTTCACGGGGGTTGAGGAGTTGCAGGGTCGAGTTTAGGGTTTGGGGTTTAGGTTTTAGGGTTTAGGGTTTAGGGTTTGGGGTTTAGGGTTTAGGGTTTGGGGTTTAGGTTGGGATTTTGGAGAAGCCCCGACAGCCCTGAAACCCTAAAAACCCTACAAGCTTCCACAAAACGCTAAAACGCGTGAACCACTAAAACCCCTAAACCCCTAAAGCCCTAAACAACCCCAAAGCCCCTACACCCTAAACCCTGAACCCTAAAGCCTGAACCCTAAACCCTAAACCCTCGACCAGCCCGCCTTGTTTGCGCACGGCGGCCTCTCCAGAAGGGCGTCGACGGCGGCAGGGTGATCGACAGCGACCTTGGGTTTAGGGTTTAGGGTTTGGGGTTTGGGGTTTGGGGTTTGGGGTTTAGGGTTTAGGGTTTAGGATTTAGGGTTTAGGGTTTAGGATTTAGGTTCTAGCTGTCTTGGGTTGTTGGGTTCTTGGGTTCCGAGAGAAGGTTTGATCTGGGGTTTAGGGTTTGGGGTTTAGGGTTCAGGGTCGAGGGTTCAGGGCGCAGGGCTCAGGGTTTGCGGTTTAGGGCTTAGTGCTTAGGGTTTGGGGTTTAGGGTTTAGACAGCTCTTGCCTTCATGGTTGAAGGTCTCTCTCATCCCATCGGGCCCAGTTTGTATGAAGCTTTGCCTGGACTCCGGGGTCCCTGAGAGGTGGGGGTTTGCAATGGAGGGTTCTTGGGAGGTTCATGGTACTTTTTAGGGTTTAGGGTTTAGGGTTTTAGGGTTTAGGGTTTTAGGGTTTAGGGTTTAGGGTTTAGGGTTTAGGGTTCAGGGTTTAGGGTTTAGGGTTTAGGGTTTAGGTGTACTTATTCACCGATTATAACTGTACTGATAACCCACTTAAAGGACCCTAAGTGCCCTGATATGGCTGAAAGTACAGTTGTAAGTACAGTTATCAGTGCAGTTAGAATTGGTTAATGGGGGTTTAGGGTTTAGGGTTTAGGGTTTAGGGATAATTGGTTAATGGGTACCATGAACCTCCAAGTAGGTCGTGCCCATGTGCCTGATGTGATTCTACTCGCCAGAAACCTCAAGTATCCGACAAAAGTGCAACTACATGACCGGGCTCAAGGTCAATTCCGGGGTTTAGGGGTTTAGGGGTTTAGGGTTAGGGGTTAGGGTTTAGGGGTTTAGGGCTCAGGGTTTACGGTAATAGGGTGATTATAGGGTGTTTCGGCTGCGTTTTTTTGAACCCTGGGAGCAAGACAGAGCTGCTGGTCATATTCCTAGTAATGCCAAAAGGGTATTCCCTGCATAGACCCTCCATAAGGGTTTAGGGATTTAGGGTTTTAGGGCTTAGGGTTTAGGGTTTAGGGTTTAATTGTAGTATCGATAGGAACCTCAGATACGCACGCCAAGCGTCGGTAGCATGAGCCCTGCTTCACGCAGCGAACAAACATGAAACAACCTCGATGCCTAAACCCCCAAGCCCTAACCCCAAACCCCAATTCCAAACCCTAAACTTCTCCCTAAACCCTCAGCCCTGAACCCTAATCCCCACCCTGAACCCCCAAGACCCTCCACCCCATTAGGAAGTTTAGGGCGAGAACTCCTGGGGTGGCAGCTGATGAGGCTACTTCACTACGTGTCCTGTTCAGGGCAAGGGGTCTTGGGTCTCGGGTCTCGGGTCTAGGGAATACTAACCCTAAACCCTAAACCCTAAACCCTAAGCCATGGTTTAAGACAGAAAGCCTTGGAGGGGTGTATGGCATTCGGGCCTCGAGCTTGGGGAGCCTGATGCCGATGATGTGGCCAAATCCCCAGACCCCAAACCCTAAAGTTCAGGTTTAGGGTTTAGGGTTTAAGGTTTAGGGTTTAGGGTCTAGGGTTTAGGGTTAATTAAGCCTAAAACCCTAAACCCTAAATCTTCAAGTTCATCAACCTTCCCAAGAAACCACAACAGTCCTCAACAACTGAGCCCCTAAACCGCCCCCAATAGACGCTTCAAACGCCCTTTAGACGGCTTTGTTGCTGAGTTCATAAGTACACTTTCAGTTCTATAGGGGATTCTAGTCTCCCAAAAAGTGTAAAACGTACTCAGACTGTCATAAGCCAGAGGGCATGACATTGTCAACGCACGCTGGGCACCCTGCATCAACCTGGCAAAGACCTTCAAGCCCTAGCAATTTCTGCCCTAACCCTAAACCCTAAACCCTAAACCCTAAACCCTAAACCCTAAACCACAGACACCCTGAAAATCTCAATGAGCTCACCGTCAAGCCACGTGGAAGGCTTCGAGGCGTTCCACGAGACGTCCGGCTTGTGGGAGCTTGTCGGCAGTAATCGGCACCGCGTAGCCTCATGGTCAGGGTTCAGGGTTTAGGGTTTAGGTTTTAGGGTTTAGGGTTTTGGGGGTCGAAGGGTGAATAAAAGGGGCTTGCGTTCGTTTGGGGCTTGGGCTGGTATATCAGCGCTTCCCACACCCTAAACACTAAACCCTGAACCCTAAACCCGAAATCCTGAAGCCTAAGTCCTAAAGTAGGGTATAGGGTTTACGTCGGCGCGAAGCCCGCAACCCCAAGATCTCGGGAAAAAAAGCCCTCTGAAGGTCAGGACAATTTCTGGGGGGGCATAGCTTTATGCTGATCTTTGTGGGTTGGCTTTGAGTTGCTCGCTCTTGCTTGCCTTCTGCCGGTGTTGATTGACCTCTCTTCCTCTGACCCTGTCTCTACTTCGAGGTTCATGGTGCGTATGAACCAATTCTAGCTGTACTTATCACCCACTTATAAGCCCCTTAAGTGCCCCTTAAGTGCCCCTATATGGTTATAAGTACCGTTATATTTCGTTAATAGGTACCATGAACCTCCAAGTATGCATGTATCAATCTGAGGAAATCATAAGTTGGAGGTGAAGAGATGCCAAACAGCACCGCAATAAGGCGGTGTAAGATGCCTCCGACAGTAGCCTCTGACCCCTCAACCCTAGATAAGACTCGGTCTCAGTAGGGAATCTTGGGGAGTTAGGTACCCCATAGGGCTACAAGGAGCTTGAAAGAACTCCAGAATCATGGACTCATCAGGACTTTCGGTTTCGGGTGTAGTGTCATAGGGCTCAATCTGACAAGCACCAAGCACGTCCTTAGAAAATGCCACATATGCCCAGACATGTTCGACATGAACTAGCCCCTGTCATCTACAAGTCTAAGGGGGTGTAAATGGGATACCGTTGAGAACCTACCGCTTTAAAAAAAAAAAAAAAAAAACAAGGAAAAAACATAACTAATCCCCTAATTACCCCAATAGGGAAGAATATTTTGTGTTTTTGACCGTTCTTAAGCAAGTACCCAAAGGGCAGGGGCCCTTCTCTTCCTGGCGGGGGTTGGGCTGTGACGGCGCCTTGGGCTTGAAGATTCGCTGCTGTCTCGCTTCTTTCCCAACCCTCTCCGCCTCCTCTTTCTTGTGTAGGGGATAGGATTCGGGGGACCCCTTGGGGATATAGACCCTCTGAATAAGGTCCCTTGTTAGGAGAGCCAGAAGAGGGTGAAGAAGGGGTTCCCTTTTAAGGGTCCCCCTTATCCCAGCTAGGATGATGGGAACACAAGGTGTGGAACCAGAACCCGAACCCGAGGCTGAGCGGGACATGCTCTTCTTCCTGGAAGGAGACCTCCGACTCTCCTGGCCCTGCTCTGCTGGTGCCCGTGGCTGCTGGCCCTCTTGGCTTCCTGACACTGGTGGCCCTGGCGGCTGTGCTGTTGCTGGGCAACCACGTCCCAGTGCTGGCTCTGCTCACGCTGGTTGCCCGGGTGGGGCCTCTTTCCGCCGCCCTTGCAGACCCCGTCTGCCTGTTGCTGTCCCTTCTTCCGTGTCGGCTGGGTTCCCGGTCGTGGTCGTGGTGGCTGTGCTGGCCCTGGTGGGTCCTAAGTACCCATATGGGGTACGCTGACTCAAACCATAATGTAGGTACTTAGGACCCTTTGGGTTAGGGTTTAGGGTTTAGGGTTTAGGGTTTAGGGTTTAGGGTTTAGGGTTTAGGGTTTAGGGTTTAGGGTTTAGGGTTTAGGGTTTAGGGTTTAGGGTTTAGGGTTTAGGGTTTAGGGTTTAGGGTTTAGGGTTTAGGGTTTGAGATTTAGGGCTTAGGGTTTAGGGTAGCTTTGGGGTTACGGGCACTTCAGAGGACGCTGGTCAAAGCGAGGGGCAGATGTCATCGAAGCCGCCATCAGCGAAGAACTCTGCCTCATTTGGCTCCCTAAACCCTAAACCCTAAACCCTAAACCCTAAACCCAAAACCCGAAACCCTAAACCCTAAACCATCCACCGAAAGTCGCAGACTCCCATTTCTGGTATATGTGATGGGCATACAGAAAGTTACTTGTACATGTTCGATCGTATGCTTGAATATGTCGAAGGTTATACAATATTCTAGAAACTAAGAGAATACAATAGTGCATCATGTCATATGCCGGTACAGTAGTATGTCACTATGGTGACTTAGGGTCGCACAGGGTTTGGGAGGTTCAGACTGAATTGAGGCTGGGGGTGGGGGCAGTGTTGCTGTGGTGGGCTCGTTTAGGGTACTTGGTATTTAGGGTTTAGGGTTTTGGGGTTAAGGGTTAAGGGTTTGGGGCGTTTAGGTTTATGGCTTGGCGAGCTTGGAAGGGTGTGTGGCAGCTCCTTCGTGGACGGAGATGGTCGCTTAAACCGCAATTGTAGTCTTGGGATACCTGCAGATTCTAGGATTCTAGGCGAGCAAACCACAATCAGAGAGTAAAGGTACAACAGAGGAACAGCTTTTTTTTGTTTATGGTTTTTGAGTGGGGGCCGGGGGGGGGGGGGGGGGGAATAGGCAAAGCAAGCCTGCAGCCTAACCCATCCGCATATTCCCCAAAGCCCTTACCAAACCGTAGGCTTAACTGTCTGCACGTTCTAAAGCTTTAACTTCAGCCCCCACCCGGGGTTTAGGGTTTAGGGTTTAGGGGGGGTTTAGGGTTTAGGGTTTAGGGCCCCCCCCCCCCCCACCCCAGTGCCTCAGCCAACGTCGACACCGTGATCCCACGGCAGGTGCCACCGGTGGCGATGACACCACCTACAAGCTCAAATGGGGTTGGGGCTTAGGTTGGTGTTTTAGGGTCTGGCTTGGTAGCCCAGTAACCATATTACAATGAGGGTACCCTTTTTGGAGCTGGTTAATTACAAGGGAGGAACCTAGAACCAAAAAACAACAAAAGGGCACAACCGGGCTACCAAGATCGGGTTTAAGGGGTTTGGGGTTTAGGGTCCAGTGGTAGGCAGGCCATAAAGTTGAGAGCCCCGGGACCAAATCTGAACGAGGAGTTTTGGGGTGTACGAGCTCCGGGGTCACATCTGCAGGGGGTGAAGGGGTTGAAGAGTTCAATAACGTTTAGGGGTTCAGGTGAACCCCTAGACCCTAAACCCTAAACCCTAAACCCTAAACTGAGGGCTCGGGGCTTAGCTTCGGGTTTAGGGTTTAGGGGTTTGGGGTTTAGGGTTTGGGGCTTCTGGCTTTTGTAAACCCTGAACCCTGCGATCATTTTCAACCCGGGATTAGGTGTGGGGTTTAGGGCTTACGGTTTCGGGTTTAGGGTTGAAGGCTTCAGGTTTAGGGTTTAGGGTCCTCCGTCTGACTTGGACAGGGCGAAATGGAAGAACGTCCGGCCACCCTCTGGCTGCGCGACTTACACGGAGTTCTGGGGCCCTAAACCCTAAACCCTAAACGCTAAACCCTAAACCCTCAACCCTAAACCCCAAACCCGGTGTAGGGTTGAGGGTTTAGGGCTTAGGCTTAGGTGATTTTGATCGGCCGGGCGAACCTTCCACCCTGAACCCGACCCCTGAACCCTAAACCCCAAACCCTGAACAATGACACCCTTAAACCCCAATCCCTATAATCCCTATAAACCCTAAACCGTAAGCCCTGGAGCATCCTAATTAAGCGATAAGCTCTACACCCCACAAAAAACTAAACCCAAGACTCTGACACGCCCTAAACCCTAAACCCTAAACCTCTAAATCCCTAAACCCCTAAACCCCTAAACCCCAAACCCTAAACTGCCCTTACCTCTACAAAACCACCCCCAAGCGGCCTTCGAGGGTCTTGTGGGTCTTCCTTGGTCATTCAGGTTTAGGCTTGAGGGGTTGAGGGGTTGAGGGGTTGAGGGGTTAAGGGGTTGAGGGGTTGAGGGGTTGAGGGGTTGAGGAGTTGAGGGGTTGAGGGGTTTAGGGTTTAGGGTTTGGGGTTTAGGGTTTAGGGTTTAGGGTTTAGGGTTTAGGGCTTACGGTTTAGGGTTTAGGGTTCGAATGACGGCTTCACAGGGCTTGCGCTTCAGGCCGGGGGGGGGGGGGGGGGGGGGGGCGAATGGCCAGTGTCTGCTCGAAAGGGGAGGGTTCTGGGCCTTTAGGAAGAGTGGGAGCTTGCCCTAAACCCTGAACCCTAAACCCTAAAACCCTAAAACCCTGTTCGGTCTGGGAGTTAGGGTTTGCCTGGGGCTCGACGATCGGCATCTGAATGGTGGGCTGACGGAGTTGAAGGTCCCAAGACAACGACTCTTCATTACCAGGCATTGCCTACACTTCCTCCCAAACCCGCAAAACCCTAAAACCCTAAAAGCCCTTCCTCCCAAACCCGCAAAACCCTAAAACCCTAAAAGCCCTAGACCCTAAAAAGCCTAAACACCCTAAACTAAACCCTACAAACCCAAAAAACCCTAAACCCTAGAACCCCAAAAACTAAGTCCTAAACCCTAAGCCCTCCCCTATCCCGAGGAGATCCTGGCAAGTTTCACCCTAAAGCCTCAACCCTAAACCCTAAACCCCAAACTCTAAACCCCAAACCCCAAACCCTAAACACCAAACCCAAAACCCAAAACCCAAAACCCCAAACCCTAAACCCGAAACCCTACCCCGGGGTGACCCTGGCCAGCGTCATGTGTGGCCTCAGCCGGCAGCCCAATCGCTTGGCGCGGTCCAGCATCGTTTCGGCGTTTCGGAGCACTACGGCATGGTACCTCAGGTTCTGAAAGGGTGGAGGGTTTAGGGTTTAGGGTTTAGGATTTAGGGTTTAGGGGGGTTCAGGGTTTAGGGTTTAGGGGTATCAAATCCCTCAAAGTCCACCAAACATAGCCTTTAAGCCGATAACCCCTCAACTGCAGCTCAAAGAACCTACATCCCCCCCCCCCACCCCAGGGTCTAGGGTTTTGGGTTTAGGGTTTAGGTGTCAGGGTTGAGGGTTTAGGGCTTGCAGCCCGAAGACGCCACGTAGCAAGGAGTCTGCAGATCATCCACATCCTCAACATCCGCCCGGAATGCCGGATGAGCGTTCAGGGTTTCAGGTTTGCTTGGAAGTACGGTAAGCCCCCTCAGCCCTAAACCCTAAACCCTAAACCCTAAACCCGAAACCCTACACCCTGAGCCTGATGTAAACTTAAACTCGATCACCTGAGATTTCAATCCAAGCTACTTTCGGTTTCGAGTTCTGGTTTCGTGATAGATTACCTGGAACATTGAACTCTATTTACCCAAAGGGTCCTAAGTACCCACATAGATAAACGGTAGGGTTTCTATGATAAGAATTCCCATTATGGTTTGAGTAAGCGTACCCCATATAGGTACTTAGCCCTGAACCCTAAACCCTAAACCCTAAACCCTAAACCCATAGGTACTTAGGACCCTTTGGGTTAAGTTACCAAAACAGGGGTTCTGCACGAAAAGAAGCTATAGGACCTTTTGGGCGCACCAAACGGAACAGGAATATGCAAGGATTTAGGGTTTAGGGTTTAGGGTTTAGGCACAAGACTGGCCCAACAACTAGTCTACACCAAGCGCCTAGACTCTGAACCCTACTGAGGGCCCATGGAACTACCCTAGATACAACTCCTACACCCTAACTAACCCCTAAGCGCTACAGTATAAAGCCCTGAGCCTGACTGAGCCTACTATAAGCCCTAAACCCTGACCCGTAATCCAATCTCAAACCTCACCTTACCAGTTTTGATTAGGGAATTCGGGAATTAGGTACCTTATACCTTGTAACCCCTTGTAGAACCCTTTCAGGGAGAGAATACCGGAATCCCCATAAACCCTAAACCCCTAAACCCTAAACCCTAAACCCCAAACCCCTAAACCCTAAACCCTAAACCCTAAACCCTAAACGAAGAACCAGCGCGTCACCCGTGTCACTGAGCTAACGGCCAGCCGCTCCACCTCTTCATCACCGGCTTCCGTGTCGCCTCCTTATCGGCGGAGCTTTGGGAAACTGCTCTTTGGCTCTTACCCGAAGGGTCCTAAGGTTTAGGGTTTAGAGTGTAGGGTTTAGGGTTCAGGGTTTAGGGTTTAGGGCTAAGTACCTATATGGGGTACACTTACCCAAACCATAATAGGAATTCCTATTGTAGAAACCCTACTTTCTACTCTGTAGATACTTAGGACCCTTTTGGGGATGCAGGTGCTCCCAGCTCGAGTTCTTTATGCAGGCGTTCATGTCGTTAGGGTTTCGGGCTTAGGGTTTAGGGTTTAGGGTTTAGGGTTTAGGGTTTAGGGCTCAAGACGTAGATAGTGCTGTGATTTCATGCCCCGCCAGGTCTGAACCCTGCAGGTCGCGGTCGTTCGTGGATGAGACACCGATCCGTTGGGTGTTTGCCTAAACCCTAAACCCTAAACCCCAAACCCTAAACCCTAAACCCTACGCCCTAAACCCTAAACCCCGGAGCTTGCGAATGCATTGCACGCTGACGCCGAGCCCACCTCCCGCAGCCTTCGAGAGAGAAACCCATGTAGAGGTTAGAGGTTTGGGGTTTAGGGTTCAGGGTTTAGGGTTTCGGGTTTAGGGTTTGCGTTCTAGGCTCTAGGGAGATGGGTTTTCGGCGAGGTCTTGGGGGTTTTGCCATGCTGGGGGATGCCAAAAAACTTCGTAAACGCCGGCGCGGCGCTGCCCCATTTCGGCCGCCGGGATGGGGCAATCGAGGAGTCTGCCGCCCGCTTCATGGCACCAAGGTCCAGGGAAGGTTTAGGGTTTAAGGTTGGGGTTTAGGGTTTAGGGTTTAGGGTTTAGGGTTTAGGGTTTAGGGTTTGGGGTTTGGGGTTTAGGGTTTAGGGTTTAGGGTTTAGGGTTTAGGAACCCAAACCCTAAAAAAGGGAATCAGGGCCAACTCTGGGATCCAGCAAGGTTGAATAGACCTTGTCATGCAAGCAAAGACCGTTTTTGGGAGGGTTCAGGGTTT